TTCTCCATGTTGTAGTCTGGCTCCAGTCTATCACCAGCTGAGCCTAAATAAAAAGTATATAAAGCTTCGCTAGCCGCCGCCGCGTACTCGCGCGCACCCACGCCCAACTTGGCGACGAATGGAAAGCTAAATTTCGAGGAACGAGCAAAAGAAAGTTCGACTTCGTTTTGGTCTCGTAAGCACGCGTCTAGTTGCCTCGCGCTATTGCACAGGCAATAATGAGGTTTCTTCGCCAGCTCATCCTCTTCAGCAAACTACTGTTACAAGGTAAAGTAATCTGAACATAAACCTAGTTCAGTATTATATATAGTATATATTTATTCACAGGGATTATATTTGACCAGCCTTCTCTGCATCCTGAATCAGTTTATGCTTGTCCAAATGAGACAGTGACTTTCACTTGTCATGGCAGCGCTATAGTTGCTACTCGGTGGGAACTGGATCTGTACGCTGAGAAGGATGCTCTGCAGATAAAATTTACCTCCAGCCAACCTGTTGGATCCCAGGAGACGGTTTACATGGATGTTATTTATGCCAACCTCTCAGATGTCACTGCAAAGGACGATAATCGAAGTGAAGCAGATATGACCACTATGCTTACAATCACAGCTCGTAGATTGCCTAATAAGACAAACATCACTTGCGCGACACCGATGGAGGATAATGTTATAACCAAGTCATCGTCCATTTTCTACTTTGCTGGTCTGTTATGTTCTTGAAGCTTTATTAAACTCTTGTTAACTTTTCTTTTCAGATATACCTCGTTGGAATAATACTTTCACTTCATACCAAGAGAAAGGTACATATTTCACTGCAGTACTAGAGCTAGGAGCTATGTTTGATGGAGGAGGAGTTGCAATTGATCACTACATGATTCAAGTGGACAAAGGCACACGGTTGGAAACTCCGGGCCCCACTTACAGTTTTGACATCATGTACAATACTACACTGCCAGTGAACATCTCAGCCCACAATTGTGCAGGATACAGTGATCTTCTCTCACTCTGGTTGAGTATCATAAAAGTATAATATAATATTTATATATTTGTTTCAATTATTAGACTCCTACACAGATTTGAATGCAGAGGTGGATAGTATGACAGCAAGGCCTGACACTGATGGTTCATCTGATGGTTTCTCAGTTCTTGTGATTGCTGTACCTGTATCAGCTGCTGCGGCACTTCTTGTCATCACAATATCCGTTTTACTCATTGTTTTCCTTAAAAGGCGCAGTAAGTGTTTTTGTCAAGCAAGCCATCGGCGCGCATGCGAGGGTTATAGTTGTCTGTTTGTCTGTCTGTGTGTCGACGCTTATATATCTGGCACTACAGGCTACGGTGGCCTATCGATAGCAGCGGCTTCAGAACTGCCGAGGGTTTGCACTTTAGTACTCTTTTTACCCTCGGCGCGCATGCGCAGCGAGGGTACGGTAGTTGGGTCTGTCTGTCTGTCTGTCTGTGTGTGTGTGTCTGTTACTCTACATCTCACTTCACGGGTGCTTTCGTCTCACAAAGGATACGACCTACATAACGGGCAACGAAGTCAGAAATGTATAACTGTTTTCTTTAAAACTGCTCCGTTGCAAAGCTAGAGCGCGAAAAGGCCAATATGCAAATACACAACGGACGGGACGGCTTACCACGGTCCGATCGATCCGCGTGCTCTGCGTACCTCGCAGGCACCGGAAGATGCAACGCAGGGCGTGATATCGCCTCTCGCATGCTATCTAGTAGTGTAGTTAGCGCGCGTCAGACTCTGCGCGAGCTGGCAAGTATATACGGTGGCTTTTTAGGGCCATCGTGTAAAACTTCAAAACTTCCGTTGTAAAGACTTCCATTCTAGTAACTTCCGTTCTAACCCTCACTGAAATCTAGCTAGCTAGCTAGCAAGCTAAAGTTATAGCTGGCGGGATAGTGTTGCGGCGTCACGAATGCTCTCATTACTCTGTTCGTCTCGGCACGATTCATGGGTTTTAACGGTCATACATGGTTCGCAGAGAGTGGAGAGAGAGCCTGGGAACGAGGCTAGTACAATTATATTGTAAAGATGCACTGAATATCTCTAGTGTTGCAAAAACCGACAGTGCAGATCACTGACTTCATGTTCATTGATGTTGGGATAGTATGGCTAACAATAATTTGTACCACAGAGGCCCTAGAAATCAAAGACACCGCACGCAGTGCATGCGCACTAAGACAACTCATTAGTATGCATGCCATGTGTATGGTGTGCTGACTCAGCCATACCTCACATGTGGTGTATGAGCTCTCATACACCATGGCATGCATACTAATAAGTTGTTCTTAGTGCGCATTCCTGTGGTACAAATTGGTTACACTCACACCCACTCGACGGTTTAGTGCATACACTACTCGTGCTGCGCACTCATAGTGTATGTCCACTAAACCGTCTCGTGGGCATAGTGTAACCTATATATACTGTGACTTCAGACGAAGGCATGGAGGTCCTTGTTTGTGTACCACAAACACCATTAGCAGAACAAAAAAGCAGTTTTCCATCTAAGTTCTCTGGAGCAAACAAGGTGTTTCAGCTTAGCTTACAATTGAACTTGGAAGTTGGTTCAGAATGGAAGTGAGCTCAAAATGGAAGTTGGAAATACTAGAAACAACATTCTGAAACCTTGTCCCAATGGGTAGATCTCAGGACCAACACAGCACTATCTAACTTATGGAACATTGAGCTACACGTGTATATTAAGTTTTCATCGTGTAGCCTTTGGGATGGCGACCAAAAACATGAATGAAACCTTTAACCCATGAATCATGCCAAGGCGAACTGAGTAAAGCTTTCATGACGCCGCAACACTACCTCAGCTATCCCGCCAGCTAGAACTTTAGCTTGCTAGCTAGCTAGCTAGATTGCAGTGAGGGTTAGAACGGAAGTTACTAGAATGGAAGTCATTACAACAGAAGTTTTTAAGTTTTATACGATGGTATTTGTGGCCCTAAAAAGGCACCGTAGGCAAGAGACCACTAGTAACAGCTAAAACTAAATCCAGCCCATCAATTAGTGGTACGGCGCATGCGTTTTACATACGCGTGTGCGTCACAGTGCGCTGAGGGTTTACACTTCAGTGCTTTTCATTTCATTAGAGAAGTGTGATGTGGTGGAGAACTCTGCTTATGGTGTCCATGTTCAAGGCTCAGCTGATGATAGACTGGAGCCAGACTACAACATGGAGAACAACCCACTGTATGAGATGAGGATACTGTCAAATGAGGGACACTCACACAAGACACAAACACCAGCTCAAGTCCCTGTGTATGAGACTGTTGACATTGCTGCTGCTTAACAATGATGTTACAAATATTTTGGTTGTGACAAACACTGAAGGAAATATTATCAAAACAGTTAGCTACTTTTGATTTTACTGTTTGGTTCAACTTACAAATCTGTGACATGTCCTGCCATTAACTCTATTAGCTATGATTCATTAATTTTTTACTGAGATTTCTGGAAAAATCGTACGCACGACACCTTGCCCAGATCAGACGGAATGCTCTCGTCGCGCATGCGCGTGTGCAATCGAGTATATAATATGTGACCCGCTCTTACAATTCGGCGCAAAAATTCAAAATTGCGTTACGCGTATTGTTCGAAAGCGCAAGGCACGCTGCATACAACGAAGAAAAACCGCACCTTCGTAACTGCTTCCGTTCGAGCGCCGTACGCAATAACGCGCGCGCCCTACCGTGCGCGTTGTTTCGAGATATTGCGTGTGTGATGCAATACACGCGGAGGCAACGCCCACAACTACGAGGAGACGCTGCTGGCGCTACGAGCGGTCGACTTCGTTCCAACGCGAAAAGGTAGACACTAGGTTATAGTTTTCACCTGTGTCATAAACTATATTTGCCAAAAACAATCGATTATGGTAGCTATATACGCGCATAGAGGTTTAAATGGATGTTATTTATGCCAACCTCTCAGATGTCACTGCAAAGGACGATAATGGAAGTGATGCAAATATGACCACTACGCTTACAATCACAGCTCATAGATTGCCTAATAAGACAAACATCACTTGCGTGACACCGACGGATGATGATGTTATAACCAAGTCATCGTCCATTTTCTACTTTGCTTGTCAGTTATGTTCTTGAAGCTTGAGCTCTTGTTAACTTTTCTTTTCAGATATACCTCGTTGGAATAATATTTTCCCATCATACCAAGAGAAAGGGACATATTTCACAGCAGTACTAGAGCTAGGAGCTATGTTTGATGGAGGAGGAGTTCCAATTGATCACTAGATTATTCAAGTGGACAATGGCACACAGTTGGAAACTCCAGGCCCCATTTACAGTTTTGACATCATGTACAATACTACACCGGCAGTGAATATCTTAGCCCACAACTGTGCAGGATACAGTGATTACTTTCCACTTGAGATGCAGTATGATCAAGGTTTAGTGTAGCTAGCTACCTGATTCTTTGCTCATTATTAAACGTCACAGATAATAATGAAGAGAAGATGACACCTATATCCATGATGGCCCTAATGGTGGCCTTCGCCATTCAATGTTGGAGCTAGCAGGTCTTATTGGAATTGGGGTTTTCTTCCTGATTGTAATAACGTTGGTGACAGCGTTGTCTTTACACCTTATTCGAAAACACAGTTAGTTGAGAGTATTGATTCTAAACTTGTCTGCTGTAATAATTTATTTACAGGGTCAAAAAGAAATCTCACCATTTCTACAAATATCAGGTAACTGCATATACCTAAAACCTCTGGCTTTTAACAATGAATGATTCTGAATGGTGAACAGTAGGGCTAATGCTAGGATTGACCTGCACAGCAATAATGGAACCCCAGCACCAACCCCAGCAACTGTGGAATACTCCTATGTCCCGGTATGAGAGTAGTTTACTGTCTCTCTTAGGTGGGAGAAGGTCTCGTAACTTCACATTTGCTGACTTGTTCTGTTGCTGTGATCCCACAAGTTACAATTATCTTTATTTTTCCACAACATTCGTTTTTTATTTGCACCATGTAGCAAGCACACGTGGTTTTCCATGAGGTACTATTCGCGTGGTATATAGAAAGACACTATCACAGCAAATGTGGAATAAGTCCAAATTATCACAAAAGGGGAGAGGTTCCATATTTTCTGTTGCAATAAGTTGCTGGGCAGACCCTACAGTTTTCTCAGTTACCGGGCCTGTGTGTGAATATCCCCATTTAAAGACTGAACTGTAAAACTTGCAGTGACAAGAAAGTCACCTGATCTTTCTTTAGAAAGGGTCTGGCTCCCCTCGATCTGCATCAGAACATACCCAGCTGTTCGAATGGCCTGATTGTTTCCTATACATGGCACTGTTGTAATGTTCACACTTTTGTTCCTTGTTGCAGGTTACACATACCATAAAGTATTTAGAGCGAGACTGTACAGGTCAATACAGCACAGTAATCAACACAGGTCACTGCAACTCCTCAGATAATGTGAGATTATAAGCATGCATTTCAGTAGCTACAATGTGAGCTTCAACAAACTAAGTCTAAGGTTTACCACAGGTTTTTCCTTAGTGTATTTCAAAAACATGCTTCACCTTAGGATTAATTTTTGGGGTATAGCTAGTTATATCTTGTAATAATTATTAAGAGGCCACAATTGGGGCTAGGTGTTTATTGGCATCATCATTTTGTGGTGAGTGTAAAGTAGGAGGGTTATGTGTGTTTCCTCATTAAATTATAGCTGCTTCTTCCTCTTCTGTGTGTGCACACATTTCTGCTGTCAAGTTTCAGTAGCACAGCCAAGGTTTGACAAAAACATTGACATCCACCCTCAGGTGTTTTGAACTCTCCCACATTGATTTGATCCTTTCACTGTTTACTCTCAGACTATTCCTCCCACATAGGGCTCCTAATGCATATCTGGTATACATTGCACATTTCTACAAAACACATTATTACTAAATTATCCTGTCTACTACAATTAGCTAGCTGGTTGGAAGAGAGAAACTTACGGAGTAAATTTTAGGGAGCATTTCCCTATTCCCATTAGCATTCATGTGAGTGATACCGGAGTCTAAGCAGTACACTCAGTGAAGGTTTTCAGACTGTGTAAATGTCTTCATATGGTTATAAACCATTTCATACTCTCACTAGTTCATTGGAACATATGCTGAGATTGAGCTCCTCACCACCAGCTCAGCTCTCCCACCACCACCAGTGACTGGAGAGACTGTCCAGTACTCTAGACCCAGTGAAAAACAGCCATGTCATCAAACACCGCAGGAACCAGTTCAAGGCGAGGTCACCTCTAACGATGAGATATCACATGGTCAAGAGGACCAGGAGAAAAACAATGCAGAGCCCACTGATCTTCATCCCCTTGGTCAGCAACAAACAGTTACTGTTTGACTGTATACACTATGTTAATACATAATTCAAGTATTTGATAGTCAACTACAGGGTGACAAATTTGAGAAACTTAAAATGAAGGTGACAAATTTGGGTATATAGTATTGTACTAAAAAGTGCTCATCAACTGAAAGGGTTCACAAACAAGTAGTTCAAACGTTGAGCATACAGGAGCTCAATTGTGGAAGTGCTCAGTATTTCTTTAAAAATCAAACAATATCTGAAAATTTGAAACTGAACTTTTTACTTGAGACACTGATATTATCGAGACTGTGACTGTTGAGCTTTGCATTAGCAAGTAATATACAGCACTGAATAGCTATGTAGGTACTTTTATTCGCTATCAGACAAGGATATCAGTGTTCACTTAATCCTGCTCCAACTGAGGACTGTACAGTCATGTTGGCGTGCCCTGGGTGAGGCTGCTGGACTGGAGAGGGAGACTATGGATATGGTGGGTGTGACCTCATAATCACAACAGAGAACCACTGCATGAGTTGGTAGAGCACTCGCCTAGAATGCAGTGCCGTAGCTTCGAATCACACTATTCTAAGGTCACCACGATCAACTGAAATTCTATGGACCTTAATTAGGCAGGAAGCAGAGGAAGTGGGAAGGGCAGTTCCAGAAAGAGCAATGCTGGGTGTAGTTGACTCGTCTGCTTTCACTTGCCTTTCTATGCGTCGTTGATGACACATTCATTACAGTGGATAGAATGTAGCTAGCTGATTGTGAACATGGTGTAGCATAAGAAAAGCATTGTTTTGCAGATTGACGGGGGAGTTGGGTGATGACAGTGCCAAATTGGCAGATGTGGTGTTTCAGTGGTATGAGAGAAAGGAGTGTGTGAGGTGGTCAGATGTGTCCTCTCTCTGTGAGCTATCTGAGGCCATTAACACTGCTTACATCACTGGTGAGTTTTATTGTAGCATGGTAAATGATTTCCACAACAACTGTTTTTCTGAAATGGTGAGAATGATTGTATTTCCGCGCAAAGTTGTTTATCCAGTGGTGGCCTTGTTTACGCTACCTCATCAATATATTATACATATACTCTTTCCTGCTAGATTCTCAAGATGGGACTTTCACTTTTATGCTCTATAGTCTACCAGTGTCTGTGTACATAACAGAAATGTCCAGACTGTTTGTGTTTTTTTAGGCCCACCTGAGCATGCATTCACCATAGTTACCCAACATTTTCAGCAATAACTGTGGCTTTGGCTCAATTTATTGTTTTCGGTTAGTCAACCAGAAACTTTCGATGTGGTGTTTAGCAAACGAACATAGCAGCATGAGCTTTGGACCTCAGATAAGATTAAATGTCCTTGTTACTTCATATAAGACTAAGTTTTGAGTCAAGAAAATTGTTGTTGGTTACTGAATGCATAGTATGCCATAAGAAAAACAGGTTATGAACATGGGTTACGAGCTAAGAACAATGAACAATGAAAATGCTGACCAGCAGATTTCGTGACTTCGAACTGACAGTAAATGACCGTAGTCTTTACAAAGTAGCCACAGACCATACAACCATAAAACTGGGCAGAGCAATGCAGGAAGATTTACTAGTCAACTAAACTGGCCACCACCTTGTAGGTTCCTATGCACATCTAAAACAGCATGAATCTTGCACTTGGCCTTCCTAGTCGTTTTAATGATGTATATAACAGGCACTGTACATACAACATGCAAAGCGTGAAAATGTTGACGCTTCATCCCTTCGCTTGCCATTGCATTCCTCTAGTAATACATTTATTGCAGGGGCTCTCCCAGTCAAAGATGATCCAGAGGTGGAGCTCCCAATCCCAGACAAGACTACTGCCCCAGTTCTGCCCCCACGCAAAGCCACATCGGGTGATAATGAAGGGGCTCCACCAATCCCTCCACACAGGTTCTAATTAGAGATAATGAGGGGGCCCCTGCCATTTCCTCCCTTAGCCACAGACATGGAGTTGCTTATAACGAGGAAGCTGCAGTTTTTTCTCTAGAGGTGACCGAGATTGATTGTGATGAAGGGACTCCCCCACCTCCACTTCCTCCTCCCTTAGCCCCTGAGGATATTGATTATTGATGACGACGGTCATACGTTTACATACAGGTGTTAGTTAGGATCTGTAAGACTACAGCATTTGTTGTCTTTATCTTTGACTGTACAATAACGTATATGTTTATGAGGTATTCTCAGCTGCCTCTAAATTAAGATAATAAAAGTTTATCACCATGTGTACCACATCAATGGTTTGAACCACTATTAAACTGGTGTCTGTCTCAACTCAAACACACATAATTAGCTCACCTCTTCTACCAGTGGCACCTTGCATTTCACCAGAAGCAATCTGATAATTTGTGTGGGTGAGATTGTTGAACACTGGGAATATCGCCATAATTTAATCAAACCTGACTCCCTCAAACTTTCCCTGCAGGTCAACTAAGAACGTCAACTGTACAGTGGATACACACACACCAACACAGACTCTTTCATCCCTTCCCTCCCTCCAGACTCTCATCATTCAGTCCTTGCGTCCCTGACCTGAACCTGAACGTTAGCATCAATAGCGCCATACCCATAACACGCTCTGTATGTGTGCTCTGCTCAGTGAGGGTGTAAAGAAACCAATGTCAAATTTACTGAAAATCTTTCTGCACATGCAAGCGTGCCGAGAGCATGCTCCCTGTGCATTAATCCTTTGGACGCCATGAGTAACCCTTGGCGCGCATGCGCAGCGAGCGTTACAGTGTCTGTCTGCTCTTGAAACGTGCTTCTGCTGAAGCAAGGACTGATGAATTGAAATCTCAGTTGAGAAAAGTAGGCTCAGTATTCCTAACACACAGAGAAGTTAGTGCACAAGAAGCTGTGTGTAGAATACTGTCACTGCCAATGAAGCAACTTAGTAGATCTTTTGTTTGTTACTACTAACCCCAAAAATGAAAGAATTGCTGTATCGAAAGGCAACGCATCTCTTAATCAACTAGAGGACAGTGATACAAATGTGTTCCAAAAGACCCCAATTGATCGATACCAGCACAGACCACAGCAGCTTAGTTCCATGTGTCTAGCTGAGTTTGCTGCCACATAATTTTGTTGTGAGGTATGAGCGTAATGATTACCAGCCCCTGAGAGTGATGTCACATCCACACAAATCACACTTGGGTAAAATGAACAAGCGAAAGCAACAAGCTTTGAGATTAGATTCAGGAAGTATAATGAAGAGACTGACCTTATCAATTGGTATAGAGCCAAACCCATGGTGTACTATATATCCCTGGTTTGATGAGCAACCTGATTTACTAGGCAGATGTATGCAACCTATGTGGAACACTATAGACATTTTAAAACCATTGTGCAGACAAATGAGAGGAAATATTTATACACAATAGCTGATATGGACGACATAGAGGTTGACGAAGATGACCCACCTGATCATTTGTGGAACAGCATTACACCATCCAGAAAGTAGAATGCATGCAGTCCATGGCTGAGGTAGCGAGAAACTAACTGAGGTTTCCCAACAAGATTTGCGAGATAACCAGAATATCCTAACATCAGGCCTTAACTTGCATGCAAGATTTGAGATTGCTGCTAGCCAACTAGAAATCCTCCCTTACCAGTATAATTACAAGTGCAAAAATCATTTCTTTGAAATGAAAGGGGATGTAGGGATGTAGGGATGTCACATCATCAAAAAGGAAGGAACAAGAAGATGCCTCCACCAAGACAAACAGTCATTCATAACCCCATCCCTACATCTTTTATTTGGTGTATAAAGAATAAGGAACGAAAGGGGCATAAAATCTGTAAATGTCTGCATGTATAATAAGTGTGGATTTGAAACATCAAAGATGTAGGGATGGGGTTATGAATGACTGTTTGTCTTGGTGGAGGCATCTTCTTGTTCCTTCCTTTTTGATGATGTGACATCCCTACATCCCTACATCCCCTTTCATTTCAAAGAAATGATTTTTGCACTTGTCTCACTTATTTTTGGGTTTGAAGGCAGATGTAGTATTGGTGGAAGTGTTCACTGTGCTGCATGCGAACACAGACAGCTCTCCAATGCTCTGCATGCTGAATTAGCAGACAATAGTGTGATTGTGTGTCAACTGTGAAGAAGGCCGATGATGTACTGTAATAGTGGGAGAAAAAACTTGCTACACAGCTTGTCAACGAGGGAGAAACTTGTGAAAATTAGCACTTCTGCTATAATTGCAGTTGTGTTAAGAGGCTAGTGAATGTGCTGAAGAAAAAATGATGATGAGCGATGTGATGACGAAATTGTGATAAGTAATGTATGAGTGGATTCTCGTGTGCAAAACTGAAATCTGTAGCTATCCATGATTTGGATAGATAGAGAGAGGCCCAATAGCTGTTGCTAGTGTGTTGAGAAGGCAGGCCTAGAAGAAGTTGTCGCTGAGTGTTTGGGGGTTTTTAGTATGTGGATGATGTGTGATTTTTCACATGTGCGATGTATTTATTGATGGTCTGATTGAATGTGGAGAAAAGTGTAGGGATGTGGGCAAGTTTGTTTTTACTGATTTGGTGATTTTATTACGGTATAAACTTGGTCCGTTAGTTTGTCTGTCTGTCTGTCTGTTACCACGTTTTCTGCCACCACGCGCAACGAGACAACGAAAGCGCGATATCAAAAGGCTCACTGGAGTCACCGCTACACCGGCTTGATTTTAGATTTGGCAATTTTCGTAAAAGCAATGCGTTCGAGAGTTATGGCGTGAAAACCAAGTGAACAAGCCAATTGCTAATACTTACCGCGCGCGTTGTGATCATCGAGCATGCGTACACATTTAGTCTGGATGGCGCACATGAGTTGTACGTGAGGGGTGTGGCGGTATCATTTTGTCATGCGCAGAACGCCGAGGGTTTTGCACTTTAGTGCTTTTCATATTTTTTTTAGATAGCATTCCTACATCCTACTTTGCATTTCAGAGGAATGATTTTGCACTTGTGTCCAAAATGTTTTTGTATGTTTTTTCACTTTCAGATCGTGCAGGTGAAGAGGAAGAAGGTGGAAATAATGTATAATCTTGTGGACAGTCTGTGTGTTAGCTAGACCGTCAAGAACCATGCAAAATTAGTTTTCCCGATAAAATTGACGCGTGCGATTTTTCAGACACGTGTTCAACAAACGCGCGACCTGCGAACACAGTAGCCTCGAAACCAGGCCTTCTCCCTCCTCCACACGCGCGCATGCTCCGTACGTTAAAATTACGCGTGGGAGTCGGATTCGCGGAGAGGGAGTGTTTATGACGTGATGCGTGCCGCGACGTTCGTCGCGGTCGGTCTCGATATACATTCGCGCTGAGAATGCACCTTGAAAATCTAGAATAACTTCCTATTCAAGCACCGTATGCGGCCACGCTTGGTATCAAAATGTAGCGCTTGGCTACTCCGGTTTGTTCAGCGCTTACCCCGTTCAAATCCACTGCGTTGTTTTTTCGCTACACACGTTACGCATAATCGCCATACATTTCTACGGCATAGTTTACATACGGCGGGAATATACCGCCCTCCTCATTATCTACTTCCGCATGCATTCTCAGCGCGAATATAGTTTGAATTCGGTGAAGTAATGCTAATGTTTTTGCTATATACAATCCTGGCGTAGCTAGCGCCTCTCGAACTAACGTAGTCGCGGCACGCATCACGTGATATAATGTCCACGCATAAGTATTATACGTACGTACGTTCGCGCTGAGAATGCATGCGGAAGTAGATAATGAGGAGGGCGGTGTATTCCCGCCGTATGTAAAGTATGCCGTAGAAATATATAGGGATTATACATAACGTGTGTAGCGGGAAAAAAACTCAGCTGATTTGAACGGGGTAAGCGCTGAACGAACCGGAGTGTGAAGCGCTACATTTTTATACCAAGCATGGCTGCATACGGTGCTGGAATCGGAAGTTATTCTAGATTGTCAAGGTGCATTCTCAGCGCGAATTTACTTTAGCCGGGAAAACCCTCCCCCGCGTAATTATAACGTACGAAGCATGCGCGTGTGGAGGCAGACGGTCTATATTATTATATCTGGAGTTGATGTGCGCATGCTTTCGCAACCCCGCCACGTGGTGGGTTAATCAAAAGCGGAGTGGATGGGTCTTCTGCTCCCTAGCGTATCAGTGTGAAGGCGCTGTTGCCATCCCGTGGCTGTCTTTTTGAAGAGGAAAAAAGGTAATGAAATATTATTTGACTGGAAGTGGAGTTGCAATTTTGGTTCACTCATGAAAATGATTTGTGGGTGGATGGGAGTACATAGCTGGAAGTGGAGTTGCATTTGGTTCACTCATGAAAATGATTTGTGGGTGGATGGGAGTACATAGCGATCAAGATAGTGCTAAGAATAATGGGGGGAGAGAAATCTATCTATGGATAAACTGGTTTTTAGCTGTCCCAGAGTCTCTTTGGTTGCCTCAGTCGCGGCCAGCCGTGGCTGAGGTGTCCTGGGTGATGAGCCCATATATGTTGCCGGTGCAGCGGGTCAGCTGCAGGGGGAAAGAACAGTATACCAGGAATTGTTAGCTTAGTGAAGTTAGGGCGGTATTGTTTTGAGAAAGACAGAGTGGAGACCTTTGTTGTTGGTGAATGTGATTAGCCACCTGTTAGACAGGGTGTGGTGAGGGAAGGGTCAGGTTCAACCCTGTGAATATATATACTCCAGGGATAGTATATACTGCTCTATGGCTGGATGACACTATGTATAATTATAAGAAGCACAAATATATACAGTACATGAAGTTTAGAGATGGTTGGTTTGAATTTCCTACTAAAGTTGTGTGCTCTGGCCATCAGCGTTAGGTGGTGTAGGTTTTCCCTAGAATTGTCCTTGCCTACAACCTAGTGAATATGCTGAGCTAGGACTCTGTGCCTTCTCGCTCCCCGATCCCCCCCCCCATACTTTTCAGAACAGGAACTATCACTGTGGTTGAAAGTTAAGATTTAAAAATTGTGTGAAGCTGCAGGGGACATTTTTTGTGTGCATACTATGCTGATTAATTTTGTGTAGGAAAAAAAAGGCTGGACTTACATGGAGGGTTGGCTGCTCTGTCTGAGTCCGAGTTGGTGATTGTGGAAGTTGAGGTTGGGGTCCCTGGAGCATATCGGTGCGATTTGCCCTGGGGTGACCTCGTCCCCCTCTTCCTCGCCCTCGCCCTCTCACCGTCGTCATTGACCCTGCTGGATCATTGCGTTCTCCTTGTGGAGTGGCTTGACGAGGAGTGGCCCGACGAGTGGACTGTGGAGTGGCCCATGGAGTGGCCCGACGAGTTGACCGTGGAGTGGCCCGACGCGTAGCCTGTGGACTAGCTCGTGGAGTTGGCCCTGCTGCTGGTGATGAAACTAGGGTGAGGCTCATTCCAGATGGCCCAGGGAGAGATTCTGATTGAGAGGGAAGGTGGTTTACTGCACCTGGTGGAGTTGGTGGTGAAAGATTCTGAGTATCACTCCTCAACACCCAGCGACGATCCCGATTTGGTGTCTGATTTGACTCGTTGTCCACTTGGGTCATCGATTCTTGGAGCAACTCCATTCCTGAGGATGACATGTCGGACAAACCGCTCATTTTGTCCCTTTTCGCTCGTATCGTTTTTTTCCGTTTTCTGTGTTTGTATATACGCGGAGGGAGCTTTATAAGCTCTTTCTCTACGCATGCGCATTCCAGTAGCGCGGGTGATGAGCGCGACGGGCGAATAATTCGATCGGTGTCTGGGGGTGCTACTGATGATATTTTCTGCAGTCATATATACTGCTATTAGGAATTGCAACGGAAAAGAAAGTAACAGCATGTATTTGATGAGACGCGTGTGTGTAGCCAGAGCGGTAAAGATGATTGGGCATTGCGAAATACATCTCCGCGCACTTTCTTAGGCCAGTATTCTGCCTGGGATTGTAGAAGCAACAACAGGAACGGCGAGTACGCGCACCTTCTTCACCCCTGAAACGTACTAACTGTATAATGACGAATGGAGATTACTTGGTAGTGCGGCGGCCGTGTACGGTGTGTTACGCGCATCACGTGCTACAACAACAGGATGTTAGTTTCAGCGTTCGTGCGTTTGAATCGCGGGTATTTAGAATCACGTATGTTATTACGGTATAATTATACAGCGGACGTCAATATTAAAGTCTGGAACAATGACAATAATTTGTGTGATGGGATGAGAGGATGAGAGCGAGGAGTGTGTGTGTGTGTGTGTGTGTTTGTATGTGATAGTCATAAGTGTTTGGATAACTGTGATGAGCCTCTGTCACCTTCCAGCTCGTACAACTGAGGCCTGTAAAAATTATAGTGGAAAAAAGGAGCACACTATGAAGAGGAAAATGTACAGGTGGTTATAGCATAATGTAAAAAGGTTGGAGTGGATAAGGGAATGAGTTTTACTTCTCTGGCAACTATATATACACTCAGAGACCATAGTAGTCTAGAGTTGCCCTAATATAGCTGGGGAGTTGGGAGTTTCTAGAAGTCTCTAAACTGACAGTTTAATGGGGAAAACATAAAGTGGGGCAGAATGATGGTTGTAGTGTATGGACCCTTTGAGGAAAAAAGATGGCCTTTGTTGTCTTTGAATTTGGAGAATTAGCTATATCTTCCACTTCCTGGAAAGATTCTCATAGGAAATGAATGTGCACTGCCCAACTGAACTCTATCCTGTATAATAATAGCAGTCAACAAACAGTCACTCACAACATGACATATACACTCCTAGGCTGAGACTATATACCTCATGAGTGTACAGTAGTGTAGCTGTATAATTATGCTGTGATAGTGCCACCAGAAAAGAGACTGTTATATACACTGGGTGTGATGGATTAGCTAGGAAAACAGATCCTAGTAGGCTGGGTGTGTATAGGTCTGCAGTTAGCACAATACATTGTTGCATGTTATTTGACCTTCTGCACCAATCTTGCAGTACAAAGTAAGTCTGTTGCCCAAAATGATGGAAAGTGCACTTGGTAGAATAAAACATGTTGGTACAATATGTACACAAACAGCAATTAAAACTGAACCATGGCTCATGATTGCTGCATCACAGCTCACAAACATTTATAAAAAGCCAGCTAGAAAGCTTTAGCTCCCTTTCCCAATGAGAAAAGGTAGTGAGTGCAACCTTAGTTTTCCACTGTAAGAGGAGTTGTATATGACAGTTAGTACTGACATGTAAGGTGCTAAATGTGATTGTTAGTAATTGCTAGGAAGCCCACAATATTGTTCAGAGCGGAGACGGTTTTTCGCCTTATATGGGTGAAGTCTGCATACATACCACTAGAAAGAGATAAAATAATAGAAACAGTAGAGGATAATTACCGCTTGTATGCAGTAGGGAGGGAGAGAACTACAAAAAAGAGTATAATAAGAGTGTGGCAGAGTAGTGCAAGAATGAGGGTAGCATCCCTGGCACATAGGTAGGATAAGGACCACACAAGGAAAGTCATAAACACTAATGAGCCCCACCCGCAACTGATAAGAGGACAAAGGGGAGGGACCAGTCACACACCTTACCCAAGAATGCAAAGTATGTAATTATTATACAGAGGGGGAGTGACTACACAAGGCTAGGAGTAGGATTACAACAGGGTTACAACGACCATCAGATAAGGGTACAGACAGCAACATTGATATGGGTTAGGGAAAA